TAGCCAAAACAAGATGAGTTGACCATTTGAATAGTGTACTAGTGTGTAGGTACATCACTGGTTCACATGAAAATCATAGCTCAATGCAATGCAATATAATGTAAGGTTTCTATACGATAGCCAAGTGATGTATCTGGGGGTACTGATGTCATGAGAGACATCAGTGCCACTATAACATGAAAAATCAGTTAAGTATCACCAACAGGAAACAGAAATTGACAGTGAGAAACAATGTTTATAAGACCTGGTAGTGGATACTCTTACACTGGCTTAAAGACACAGGCAATATCTAACAGGAAGTAGCATCAACGAAAGCTTCAGAACAAGAAGTGATGTCAGAAAGTGGCGTCGGAACCCGAGGTGACCCTTACACATCAGCAGTTGCAGTTAAGAGAAGAATAGGGTATCCTCACAAGTAGATCTGTTGGCAGTGAAGAGGATGTCGGTGGTAAATGTTTGGAAATTTATGCCTTGATTGACAGCCTAAAGAATTTATGGCTTTGATGTCAGAGGGATTGTATTATTAGGATTACTAAGAAGTAAAATATCTAAACCATCTTAGCATTCAGAATATACATATACTATCTTGTTTCTCCAACAAGGATGGTCAGCTAGCTACTGAAGTTAGACATTTCACGTAAGACTGAAGCTGTTGTGAAGCAGACATCACTGTATGCTGGCATCAGGTTGTTGGGGGATTCAGACTGGGCCAAGTAGTGGTGTCAGTGTCTGGATAATAGGATATTAAAAGTTACAATTTGTTCGGAATTAATGACCAGACCTCAAGTAGAAATGGTGGAAAGTTTTTCCGCTACCGATACACAGTCTAGTTCCCCAACCCCCTGACACCATGCTGTCACTGCTCCACCTACCTTGAAGTCCTTCTGTAATGGGAGATAAAGTCAGTGTTAGTACATGCTCATTCCATCTTTATTGACGTAAGGAAGCAATAGCAGGCAAAAATCTCTTCAAATCAAGATTTCGCACAACTAATCTTGCAGTTGTTTCAACAAACATCTTCAGCAAAGTAAACACCTACAAGTTTCATATCAGTGATTAGTGTCTGAAACTCATAAGAATATACTTTCATCCAGTTTACTCAATGTCATGCACATCTACACACTTAAAACACCTGAGCCATGATCAACAACTCTCCAGAAGCTACTGGTCAGGTCCCTGCATGCTGGTGTCACCACTTCCTCCAAAACTCCTGCCACATGCATTCACTTAATATACTGGAGCTGAAGGGGTTGTTGTCGGCACAGCTACTACAGATACGTACCCCAGGTACGTTTCTATATACAGATATGTACCCTAAATAAAGTCAAAATACAGAAACGTACCCGGTACCCTAAAAGGCGAACGAGTCCATATTCCGCAATCCAAAACCAAAAACGCATGTAGTTGTTCCCGTTCAACTGATTGCGATTGGTATTCATATGCATCGCGAAATATCCGTTACTGTGTATTCTCATTACTTACATAAAGCAATCAAATGTATCTAATACAACAGCATGACAGTTCCGATCAAGAATACGACACACTGGGAATGGAATCGTCCTAGGGTATGTTTCTGTATTTTCATTATGGCCAGGTTACATATCTGTAGTACCCATGCCGACAACGACCCCTTCAGCTATACTGGACAGTTACACTTAACTAACTTGAAATACATTTGGGTAATTAGCACTTATACAACAGTTCGAAGAGCTCTGAATAACAGCAATATTATCAACGCATTGTAACATATCACACAAATAATGCCATTTTGTGACCTTTTCCCAAGAAAATTAACATTGACTTCACAAATATAGCATTCACAAGTTTGTCTTCCAAATTATGTTATAATTTTGTATTTTATGTCCATCTCCTCATTATTCAAAAAGATTACACTGATTCTGATTGTCGTTTTTAACTATAATGTTTGTAAATCAATGCAGTATCAATGGCTACATGGGTTGACGCATTGTGTACGACATCATCAGACATGTGATGCAGTGACACAATCCTGACCTCCCTAAAGCAACCCATACCAACAGCTTCTAATGTCTTAGTACAGGCTGCTGCCATCACCCGGCTTCCTCATTAATGCATTTCCAAGTTGGACCAGTTTGTTCTATGTCCAGTGTACATTTAGCAAGTGTTCTACTCAGAAGATCCATTATTACGCCAACTAAACGTTAAGTGTCTTTAGTACATGTTAAGGCTGCATAAACAAACAATGTTTCTTGAGTATAGGACCAACAAACACAACCGGGCACACTCTGAAGGCTGCTCTCCAACACAATGTTGTCAAAAAAGTTTATTGTATTGTTACCAGAATAAGCATCATAGACAAATAAATAACATGTATTGACAATAATGACTGAAAAGCAGGATACCACGGAATAACAGTGAAAAAAACATGTATGACTAATCATATGAATACAAGCATGCTGTTAAAATTTCCTTGATATATACACATAGAACTGAGTTAAGCACCCCTGACATATCTCATGATTGAATGAGCCCCGATCTTAACCCTTTGGAGCATATGTGAGACATGATTGGTCGTCGTGAGCAAAAAAAGGGATCCTCCTGTTCAGAACCTGGTCCAATTGGAAGCTGCTCTAGTGGAATAGTGTAGACTGTCCCTTCAGAGGATCAGGAGGCTGACAGGGTGTATGAGGAGGAGCGTGCTGGCTGTCATACAGTCACATTTGGAGGTTACACACGGCATAGACCTTGAATCGTGTAAGACTTGCAAAATGACATTTGAATATTCACATTATGCCAATAAATTTAACATTTAACATTCCAGGGGCTCCTTTCACGAAGCAACCTTTACTAAGGTTAACCTTAACTCCCATTCTTTAACATTGCACTAAGGTTACCTTAGTGACTTACGATCAACTTAGTCCTTTGTGAAAGGGGGCCCAGGACTAAACTTGTACAGACATAGTTTTGTATGAAAATCAGTGGGTTTTTTTCCAATATAAGCAAATATCATCATAAATTCAACATGGATTCCAATCATTTTTTCATTTCTTATGAGTCAAAGGATCATACCGGTCAGAAAAAACGTTTTTCCATCATGGTCACCACAAGACGTTTTATGTACCTGTTGAAAACGTATCATTGCAAAAATACAGAGGGTGCTTAATTAAGTTCTTTGTGTATATACACAAGAGTTTGCATAGAAGTGGATAAGACACTATTTCAGCCTAAACTGAACTAGCTGAAAAAAGCTCTGACATTATCAATGATCTCCTCCCCTCCATACTGGTGACCCCATCTCCTCCCCTCCATACTGGTGACCCCATCTCCTCCCCTCCATACTGGGACCCCATCTCCTCCCCTCCATACTGGTGACCCTAACCCCTCCCATCCATACTGGACTGGTGACCCCATCTCCTCCCTCCATACTGGTGACCCCATCTCCTCCCCTCCATACTGGTGACCCCATCTCCTCCCCTCCATACTGGACTGGTGACCCCATCTCCTCCCCTCCATACTGGTGACCCTATCTCCTCCCCTCCATACTGGTGATCCCATCTCCTCCCCTCCATACTGGTGATCCCATCTCCTCCCCTCCATACTGGTGTTCCCATCTCCTCCCCTCCATACTGGTGACCCTATCAGGTCCCCTCCATACTGGTGACCCTATCGGGTCCCTTCCAAACTGGTGACCCTAACCCCTCCCATCCATACTGGACTGGTGACCCCATCTCCTCCCCTCCATACTGGTGATCCCATCTCCTCCCCTCCATACTGGTGACCCCATCTCTTCCCCTCCATACTGGACTGGTGACCCCATCTCCTCCCCTCCATACTGGTGACCCTATCTCCTCCCCTCCATACTGGTGATCCCATCTCCTCCTCTCCATACTGGTGACCCTATCGGGTCCCCTCCAAACTGGTGATTCCATCTCCTCCCCTCCATACTGGTGGCCCTATCGGGTCCCCTCCAAACTGGTGATTCCATCTCCTCCCCTCCATACTGGTGACTATCTCCTCCCTTCCATACTGGTGACCCCATCTCCTCCCCTCCATACTGGACTGGTGACCCCATCTCCTCCCCTCCATACTGGTGACCCTATCTCCTCCCCTCCATACTGGTGACCCTATCGGGTCCCCTCCAAACTGGTGATTCCATCTCCTCCCCTCCATACTGGTGGCCCTATCGGGTCCCCTCCAAACTGGTGATTCCATCTCCTCCCCTCCATACTGGTGACTATCTCCTCCCTTCCATACTGGTGACCCTATCTCCTCCCCTCCATACTGGTGACCCTATCTCCTCCCCTCCATACTGGTGACCCTATCTCCTCCCCTCCATACTGGTGACCCTATCTCCTCCCCTCCATACTGGTGACCCTATCTCCTGCCCTCCATACTGGTGACCCTATCGGGTCCCCTCCATACTGGTGACCCTAACCCCTCCCATCCATACTTTTTGCTTTAAATGTCTGATGTGTTAATGTTTTCGTTCCATGGATTCCTGTTTTTTTCTCTGGATCATAGTAATGGATTTTGGCCTAATCACCTGCCATCAACCTAAAATGAAAATCTGTTGGTTTGTGATTACGTCTGGCTAACAAGGTATAATAGGGTATACCAGAGTATAACAGGTGGTGACTTGCATAGACTTCATTTCATCCAACAGCATTCTTCGAACCAACATTTAATCATGGTGTATGATGAACCCTCTAATGTACAAACATGGCCGATTGCTCCATACTCAGTACTGACAATTTCAGTGTTAAAGAAAGATATTCCAGCTATATGGCTGCGGTGACCAGACTGAAACATGTGATATTGTGATAGATGACTCAACGAATACAATCAATAAACATTACTATGTTAGACATAAGAATGAACTGTTTACCAAGGCCTTAAACCCTGAGAGCAGATCTCCAGCTGACCTAGCATTTCATTACAGCCTGATGGTAAAGTTCCTGCATAGTTCCAGGTTGTGTTTGTGGCGGCATGGCTTGTTACTCATGCCGTGTAACACTGGTTTGTTTATGTCAACAAAAACACCATGTCCACCATGTTACTCAGTCTGAAGCAGACAAGCCAGTATTGACAGGACAGTCAGCCTTCAAGGCAGGTCTCCAATACGCAGGGATGGCAACAGGAAAATCTATTTTCAGAGGAAAACTTAATATTGTGTCATCGAATGGGGGTTTCTCAATGGATTTAGACGATTCACAATTGAACAATTTGAAATAAAATCCGCGGTAAAATGCCATCCCTGAATACGTTTATGTGTAATGAATGTCACTGAAAGCCACTACATGATAATCCAATAAGGGAACGCTATCAATATGTCCATGATACAGGTAAACATTCAGCCACAATACAAGGGGAAGACAGTACAAAGGAGAATCTATATGTAATACTTCCATAAAAACATTATGAAGAGTGTTCATATGAGTGATGTATTTCAAGGTGATGTTGGACTGAATATCTGTAGGGTAATGGTGTCTAGGTGTGCATCAAGGCCCACTTGCACAAAACAATCTCACTGCTACAACTACTGCAAATCCTGAGATCTTTATCTGGCTTCGGCTTCAGTTGTCGTCTACTTGCACAAGTGACTTAAGATCTTTGTGAGCTACAACTTACAACAGTTTGGAACCAAACTAGCATCATTGTTTTCTATTATCAGCTTCTATTTCACATCAATATACAACTTCACACCTATGCATTGCCTTCATATTTTGTTGAAGCCTGTTATCAGGATCAACACTTCAACAATAAGGCAGCACTTGAGATTAAATAACAAAAAAATCTGGTTACCTGGAAGTCAGTACACAACACACTGTTACTACATATACTACTGAGTGGATATCTCAGATTACCATTCCCACCTGGCTTAATGCTGGAAGAAGTGTGAAACAACACACCATGGACAAGGTGTCTGCAACATATGGCTTTGATCTTGTGTATCAAGGCAGCTAATCTGAAACTCTAGTTTAGCTTGGATTCTGATATCAGGCCAAGATCAGCACAGTGTTCATTATGTAGACTACTCGTGTGGGAAATGCTAATTGTAGGGTGATTGTAAGGTCGACTGTACCTTAGATTGATTGTGATATTATTCTTGCTGTGTGCAAGTGAGCCAAGTACTTCATGTTATTAATACTGATATTCATAAACCAACATTATATTCCTGAAGCTAATACTAATTTCCATTGAAAACAGACATTTTTCAAAATCTGGACAATTTAGTTCACATTCAACTTGTAATTTCATGTTTCTTTAAAAACATACAGAATATATATATATATATATATTCTATTCCTTCATTAAAAATGTTTCCAGCAGATTTGTAACTAAATAAAATCATTTCTTGTTTATATAGTTGTTTTCATACCTTAGGCAAGAACATCTTAACAATTAAATAACACTCGACTGGACAATACCCATTACTTGCCTAAGCGGAAGTAAGGGAACACACTGGGCCTGTGTAACACAATAAATTGTAGACAGTGGTGGTTATCGGGACTGTTGTCCCACTGTCGGATACTACAGATTAGAACTTGGCAAGAATAGGTAAGTATTGAAACGTCACACAGCTGTTCAGTCTCATTTCATGTATCCATTTGTAATGGTATAGAGGACAGGTCTGTTCCCCCAAAAGACTGTAGTCAGGCAACTCTCATTAGTTCCTTATACTCAGTAGACAAATATTTTGGGACACAACTTGTTACTTCAGCTCTTTCAGAGCTACCATCAAGGTAAAGGTCATCTGACTATGTTGTCAGTTTCCACGCTTGCCTCATCATCAGATCAAAGTACACATCACTGTCAACTGAGGCACTGACGCCAGCGTAGTAGTTGACAAACTCTTCACTGGTAATCTGAAACAGAGGAATATGGTGACAGTGATGGCCTGGGCTCCACCAGACTCCCCACACCACTTTGACTGGAGACTGCACTATTTTGGCAAAGACAGAACACCTTTTGTTTTTGTTGATGGGTTCATTAAGCTGGCTGGTAGTGGTCACTAGCACATCCACTCTAGGGATTGCCTTTTTGTAAACCTTCTCTACCCCCTGGATCAATTCCTGTGGTTTTCATGATCTCAACCTACTTGCCCTGGATTTTTTATCAACATTTCACCAACTGATCACCCATCAAGATAGGGAAAACAAAAATGTGTATGGGATGATGGATATACAGACATTCTGTCCATCAAACAATTACAGGAATTTGTGTGTGTGTGTAAGTCAGTTATTTAATGATGGGTAACCACAGGAATGGATAGGAGTAAGTGTGGGTTTACCGAAATACAAGCCGTGGAGATTTGGAGGATGGGGCTCCAATAACTCTTTTGCTAACTTGTTTATATAAAGGTGCGAAAAAGTGGTAAAAGGTGAATTTGCCATAAACTCTCCAATCAATGCAATGTGGATAACAAATTAGTGATATCAGACATTTCTGTTGCAGTTTCAAAGAAAAAAGATCTGAGATATAGACAGAGTGAAAATGGTCCAGTCATGCAAATGACATTACATTCATGCTATAAGTTACATACATGCATAACAAAAACTCAGTCTACACTAGGACAAATCATAAAGTTATGACAGAGGAAAAGAGAATTATGATTGTAATTGGGGGAACAAATGTGTCGAAGGTATTTGTTTCAATGTATTTTCTATTTGCTGTATTTTAAATAAGTATTACCTTGTGTCTGTTCCAGTGGCAGAAAGTGGGACAGAAAGAATCATGCAGAGGTGATGACATCACAGCAGCATGCTGCCAGCCAGCATGACATGTGGGGAGCACCCACTCACTCACATCAGCCACAATCCACAACATGGACAGTACAGGAAAACAAACATGCATCACAGCTGAGGGAGTCTTTGTCCTTGAATGTCTCATTTGCCCAACGAAGTCCAACACAGATAGTATCATGACACAGGTCTGTTAAACTGATGGTGTAAAGGCCTGTGGCCTGCAGCATTAGCACAGGTCCAGCAACTATCTCAGGTCTGTGACATTAGTGTTATTCTGTTGTCTGAAGACTAAATACCTGACAGCTGTGTAAAATGATCAACAAGCTAATATCAGTAATATTAATGTAACATTAATAACACAAAATGCATGCCAGGAAAAATACTGATTTATTCACATGGACTTCTTGCTGTGTGTCTTTCGTCAACTCTATTCTCAGCTGGCTAGTGGAGCTGGACACAAGATTACTTTTAATGACATTTTTACTTTCATCTTCAGCGACTGACACGCATGATGACTAGCCCCAGAACGTATGGGTATCTCTTCCATGGTCTCCGCCACAGTGTATTTTCATTGCGCCAAGTAGATTTACACATTAGATAGTACATGTATCAGGTGCATTCAGGTAACTGTACAGATTCCCCCACCCCTGCTGCCTTCTTCCCTCTGGCCCCACCATCAAGACCACAGTGTACCTTCATCATGCGATAGTACAAGTGTCAGGTGCATTCAGGTAACTGTACAGATTCCCCCACCCCTGCTGCCTTCTTCCCTCTGGCCCCACCATCAAGACCACAGTGTACCTTCATCATGCTATAGTACACGTATCAGGTACATTCAGGTAACTGTACAGGTTCCCCCACCCCTGCTGCCTTCTTCCCTCTGGCCCCACCATCAAGACCACAGTGTACCTTCATCATGCTATAGTACACGTATCAGGTACATTCAGGTAACTGTACAGATTCCCCCACCCCTGCTGCCTTCTTCCCTCTGGCCCCACCATCAAGACCACAGTGTACCTTCATCATGCTATAGTACACGTATCAGGTACATTCAGGTAACTGTACAGGTTCCCCCACCCCTGCTGCCTTCTTCCCTCTGGCCCCACCATCAAGACCACAGTGTACCTTCATCATGCTATAGTACATGTATCAGGTACATTCAGGTAACTGTACAGATTCCCCCACCCCTGCTGCCTTCATCCCTCTGGCCCCACCATCAAGACCACAGTGTACCTTCATCATGCTATAGTACATGTATCAGGTACATTCAGGTAACTGTACAGATTCCCCCACCCCTGCTGCCTTCATCCCTCTGGCCCCACCATCAAGACCACAGTGTACCTTCATCATGCTATAGTACATGTGTCAGGTGCATTCAGGTAACTATACAGATTCCCCCACCGCTGCTGCCTTCTTCCCTCTGGCCCAACCATCAAGACCACAGTGTACCTTCATCATGCTTTAGTACAAGTGTCAGGTGCATTCAGGTAACTGTACAGATTCCCCCACCCCTGCTGCCTTCTTCCCTCTGGCCCCACCATCAAGACCACAGTGTACCTTCATCATGGTATAGTACATGTATCAGGTACTTTCAGGTAACTGTACAGGTCCCCCCACCCCTGCTGCCTTCTTCCCTCTCCCCCACCATCAAGGCCACAGTGTACCTTCATCATGGTATAGTACACGTATCAGGTACATTCAGGTAACTCTACAGATTCCCCCACCGCTGCTGCCTTCTTCCCTCTGGCCCCACCATCAAGACCACAGTGTACCTTCATCATGCTATAGTACATGTGTCAGGTGCATTCAGGTAACTGTACAGATTCCCCCACCCCTGCTGCCTTGTGCACCGATGTCCTATGTCTCAGCTTGTTAGAAATGTATACATATACACACATATTCACTCTGCAATAAGGATTGGTTTGAATAGCTGCCCAGTAACCTGTGCTTGTAATAAGTGGATGATGTGATGAGACTCTGTGACACACTGTGTGGATTGTTGACACTGGACTGGTGTAGACTTGCCCAATTACAGACTGCAGTCATATTGCAGAGTCAACAAAGCAAACATACATGTTACAAAATACCTACGTCAGTCCACACAGATGTCAAACCACACTGGTAGTTTAACAATACTGCATTATTTTGTTGGATGCATTTCCATGGTAAACACAAATAAGAACAATTATTCATATGCTTTTCAAGATATATAGTCTATTGGCCAAAGACTAAAAGATAAAAAAAAGAGGGATGTGTCACTTTCAGTTTTAGCTCATCTAATCCCAACTATGTTCATTTCAAAGTAATGTTTCATCCAGAGGGAGGGTGGATGGGGCAGCATACAAGGAGACGCACATCTCATCTGGAGTGCATGTTTAAACATTGAGAAGAGTTACAGCTGCACCTATGGTGAAGCATACAACAATATCACTAGGTGATGTTTCAATCATAGGATTTTTCCATTCATCAGATATAAATCAACTTGTACCCCTTTCACAAACCCTGTATGCCTGTGTCATGTTTGAACAGTGAGTCTGGAAGCAGAATGTTGTGTCATGCTTGAACACTCAGTCAGCAGAATGTTGTGCCATGCTTGAACACTCAGTCAGCAGAATGTTGTGTCATGCTTGAACACTCAGTCAGCAGAATGTTGCATCATGCTTGAACACTCAGTCAGCAGAATGTTGTGCCATGCTTGAACACTCAGTCAGCCGAATGTTGTGCCATGCTTGAACACTCAGTCAGCAGAATGTTGTGTCATGCTTGAACACTCAGTCAGCAGAATGTTGCGTCATGCTTGAACACTCAGTCAGCAGAATGTTGTGCCATGCTTGAACACTCAGTCAGCAGAATGTTGCGTCATGCTTGGACACTCAGTCAGCAGAATGTTGTGCCATGCTTGAACACTCAGTCAGCAGAATGTTGCGTCATGCTTGAACAGTCAGTCAAGAGGTAGAATGCTGTGTCATGCTTAAACACTCAGCCAGTAGAATGTTGTGTCAACTTTAGGCTCTCTGTGTCTGTAAGAGACACAAACGTCTAGGCTATTTCAAAATTAGATAAAGGGAGAGTGTAAACATCAAATGAGTGTTTGATGGGTCCACTTCCTACTATCTCCCATTCTCTTCCCACAGACATTACTTGTCATATCTTCCTACGTAACCTCTGTTCTAATACAGCCCTTTCATGGTGTGAGCGTTCAAGACTTGTGATTAGAGGCAATCAGATTTAGTTGTGCAATCAGCGACGTTGCTTCAAAAGTGATCATTCTCAAGGCCTCGGTAATTTCCGTATGCTTCCAGAAAACTAAACTTCTTCCCCTGCGCGATGCACAAACGTTTCTTCTAGACAGAACTCAGTCATGTTATGGCAGATCAGTGGCGTCTCCATCGCCCTCATTGACAACGGACAAGCTAGCCATTAAACGTCTTGTGTGTAACATCAACACAAGTCCCCGGCAGATTACGGATATTTGTGGCCCCACATTTGCTTGTGTTAGTCAAGTTGAATCTAAGTCGATGTAACACATGTTCTGATTGGATAGAAAGAAGGGAGATAATTCGTGTTACGATCTTTTGCCGCTAGGGGATTTTACGAGAACCGGGAAATATGGCCGTATTAGAACAGAGGTTACGTAGGAAGATATGACAGGAGTAACCTCTGTGGGAAGAGAATGACTATCTCATTTCTACAAGAAATCATAGACAAAGAAATAGAACACCAATAAGTATTTTAAAGTTTATTTGTATGAATTAACATATACTATCAAACGGTATGGATGTTTGATACTGTTAATCAATACAACTATGGTGATATCAAAAGATACCCTGATAAAAGATGACAGCACAATACTGGATTGTGACAAGACAATAACAAGATGTAAAGTGGGATGTCACACAACATGTAGATGTGGCCAAGTCTCTCTACAACTTAGGCTACAACATGCTTCCTCCTGCATCCTGGCAAGGAGTTAACTGCATCAACAAGGGCAAGTAAAACCAAAAGTAACCATGGTAACAATTTGCATGATAAAAGGTCACATACCTGCATTGCGTATGCACTTTAAGTTCAAAGTTAAATAAATGTAGTCCTAAAGGTTTGACTTCATTCTGCAAGTGTCC